TTCTATAATAAAATTAATGACCACGAATGTGGTCTATAGCCTAACGTGTAGATGCTTCGTGTTAATCAACAAAATTAAATTCGTCTTTTGAACCCTTGGTTTTTCTTTTGTCTTTGTTTTGGTGTACAATAAAAAAATCTTAAACATATTAATAATTTTTTTCTCTATTTTTACTATAAATTTCTTTCTGCAATTCTATAACATACAACAGTTCAAATTTATCTATCATCTATAACAATCATCTATAAATCTACAAAAAATCATCTATAACAGTTCAAATTTTAAAGAAAGAACTGACTACATAGAGTTCTTTGTTATTGCCTTTACAAAAGATTTCTTTCAAATTTCAGCCAGTCATATTTTAAGTAATAGCCTAATAATTTCTGTTGTAATCTTAATGCTTTTTTTAATTTACTTTATGTTTACGAATTATGTTATACAATAAATTCATACAGAAAGTTTACTATTGTTATCACTGAATAAAATATTTTGTTATTGACAAGACTATGTCTTGTTTATAAAATCGTACTGCCTCATGTTCTTACCAGCATAGATGTATGAAGGAGTACATGTCGAGAGTTGATATTTGGCACAGATTATTAGGTGCCCAAATCATTTGCGCGTAAAAAAATCCAGACTCGTAGGTAGTCGGGGGACCGAGAATCGAGTTAAAATAAAATACAAAATGGCGACTCTCTTCTACAAACAGGCAAAACAGTCACCTCACCCCACCGAAGTCAGGTAGGGGCGAGTACCACCCGCAGTCATTCTAAGAAGTGAACTCTGACCTTAGGACCGAACACGTAGTTTCTTCTATGTTAAATAAAATTTGTAATCTAATTTTGTAAATTTGGGAGTGCTTCACATATGACGTTAAAACGGTTTTATGTTGTTACAAGTGTGTTTTTTTAACATTATCTAGTATAGTAAAATCGTAGGACCGATAAAAATTTGACGTTATATTAGGGTTGTCGTTACATCCGATGACGTTATAATCGGGTTAAACTGTAGGCTATATTGTTTGTGCAAAATAAAAAAAAAAATAATTTCGGACGATACAATATCCACGATTATTTTTTCCAAAAATGGGAACTTTTCGTTACGCATCGACAAAAATTCAACCCGGGCCGACACGCAACGGAGAGAAATTTCGAAATTAGATAGGTTAATTTCATTGAAGATGCATCGTGGATGTGGCCGGCGAAGTTTGAACGATCGCGCCCAAAAGCAGCGATGTCAAAGAAGGTAGGAGAATGAGAACGAGACCTGCCTTGAGCATCAAAGTGATTCCGTCTCCATGACATAGTCTTGTCCCAAATACAGTTTTGCCGTTTTACTTGTTTTAGTATTTATTCTGACTAGCATAGCAAGCTGTAAAGTTAGTTATTAATAATCCATTTATTACTCCGAGTGGATAACACTATTGAAGAATAAACGAAAGTCAAGACAGAATCTACCATTCCAGACACTGGGTTGTGTCTGATCAACTGTGACGTGCTCCTAACGGAATTTGGGTCTAGGGGGTCACAAATAAAAACAGTATTACGTGCGCATAACTGAAAATAGGCGTGAAAAAAGAACAAAACACAAGAACAAACCAATTGCTATCGATTGCTTTATTCTTCGATCGTCTCTCCATACCTGGCCAGTGCAAGGATCGTGTTTCCAATGGCCTGCAAGTACGAGGATACTCGTTTTTGTGGTGGGAGGCAAGTGCAAAGTTTGCCTGTCCGCGTCCGTCAGGTACTGTACTAGAATCGCCTCTTCTGTGCCTAACTGGTGCAGGGTCGCTTCTTTCCTTTAGGCTCCGCTTCAATTCTATCGCGATACGACAAAGTCGTGCGATGTCCTAGTTAATTAATCATATTTTTAATCTATTTCATTTAAAATATATGCTCCTACCTCAAATTAGTAGTGGCTTGCCCCTGTACATCATACTTTTCCTTTAACAGTAGAGTCGTGCCGGACATCTATTAACTACTTTCAGGGGAAAAGTTTTGAATTGAAATAACGTGACTTCCGGTTTGCTTCGGAAGTTCATATGTAGTTAATCGGAGCCTCCTTCCCGAGGTTTCCATATCTGGACTCGTCTTTCATCTATCTCCGTTCTCGAGGTTAATGAAAGACAGACGGACGGACGGCAGTGAGAATTTATAGGTCTACAATTTTTTCAACTTGCAGCCCAAAAAACAATACAATCTATATACAAATTCTAATATTGTAATTTGAAGAATAAATGGATTGGATTGTATTACTAGGATAAGGCAACGCAAACATAAGGGCCTTCTGCCGAGGAGACCATCCTAAGGACTTTCTACTGATGTTAGATACGTGAAGTAAACCAGGGCAACTCCATGGAGCCAGCCTCATCAGAGAGCATTGACATTGTCATTGTAATACCTTTGTATATAGAAAACGAAGTCATAGACTCCTATTTTTACTTTCCTGGCTCTGTTATAGATAACAGAAAGAAAGTATGGCTATCGGTCAAAAATTATTCCCAAGATTTTTACATTTTTGGACTTAGGGGACCTTGAAAGGTCGAGAAATGCAAAAAGCATTCAGAGTTTTTTCTGTATGTATGGACGTTAAGTGTGTTTATGTGTTTTTTGTGTGGCACGATTTTGTTTACCCTCTTTGAAGCTTAATTAATTAACTCCTGTGCTTTCGAAAATTTCTGAAATTTTGCAGGAAGGTTTGTATATTAGAAAGATTCATGCTATTAAATTTTGGTGGTTTATGGTAGATGGAGTGGGGTGATAAAGGGTGGTCGTGTGTCTTATCTCCAGTAGGATAGGATTTAATAACGATTTTACTCGTTATTAGCATTTATAACTTTTTATAAAACAATTCGTATTTTCAAAATTCTGGATTTCTCGTCTCAATTAACAAAAAATGGCAAAGTTTTATGAAAATCGATCCATTAAATTTTTGAGAACGAACTCGATTCTATAAGCCCGTAAAAGACGTGTTAGCGACCGTGAAACATCGCACGACAAAGTCGCGCGCGCTCGTGAAACGACCTTATATCTCGAAAATGAAGTCACGAACTCTGATTTGTTATTGCATTTTGGATTCCGCATCACAATTAATGGAAAATAGCAAAGTTTAATCAACATCTATCGAACGGATTTTGAGAACGAACACAATTCTGTAAGTCTCATAGAAGAAACTTCGCTAACGCTCCGCTTCAAAAATTATTTCAGTTTTTCATTTTTGTACGTTTTATATATAAAGTTTTACAATTAAAAACGATGTTATAATTTTAATTTTAATTAAATAAAGTAAATCCAATATTTGAATAAACTAATATTGAAAAATACTAACTAATAAGTAAATAAGCAATCTATTTTATAACTCTAATTTAAGTAACTTAATAAAAAATTAATTACTTAATTCTGAACTAGTGATTTATTTTAATCAAATTAAAAACTCTAAATATTGTTTAAAGGCATTGTACTTTCAATTATCTGTACTTTTCTATTATATACTATGAAGATAATTTCATATGTAAAATTTAGTATTGAAATTAAATTAAAATATGATCTTTGCATATTTTCCTCCAAAAAATTAAGATTATATATGATGTTCTGTATATTTTTTTAATTTTTGTGGACAATAAAAAGCCTTATTTTCATGCCCATCATGGGTTTATCAAGATTAACAATGGAGGTTGCGGACTGCTTAGGGATGGAGCTCGACATCTCTAACCATTCAGCAACGCCTATTGTGGTTAGGAACTGAATGGTTATGGATTTTATTCAGGACTGGCCACCGAAGAAAAATTCTAAGGTTTATTCACCTCCCTCATTTGATTTCGGGACACCAGAACAGCAAGCTCACGCCTTAACCGTCCTAACTTTTCTGTATATTTAAAACAGTGTTTCTCAACGGGGGCGATATCGCCCCCATGTGGGCGTTTTTCCATGTTCAGGGAGCGATTAGCAACAATTTATATTTTGGGGGTGAAAAACAATTTTCTGGGCGATATAGTAGAGCAGGGCTTCTTAAACAAGATTTCGCTCGCGACCCCATTTGGGGTCGCTTAGCGAAATCTTGGGGTCGCGAGATTTTAATGCAAAATTTGAAAATAATTTGTGAGAGTTTGAAAATGGCACGCTTTGTGTTGGGGCCGTATTCTGGTCACTGTCTCTCGTCTCTCGTCTCTCGCAAGCCGGTCGCTGATTGGCTAATCATTTGGATTAGCCAATCAGCGACCGGCTTACGAGAGACCAGAGACAGTGACCAGAATATGGCCCTTGATTTCGTGAGTTGCGCTTTGTATCACTTCTGGTGCAGCGACACAACGATTCAGCAACAGTAGTGTGAAGTAGTGTAGTGTTGTCGCTTTTCAGTGTATTCAGTTGTCTCTGTTCCATGGTAACACAAGAGTGAACTGTGGTAGTACACCATTATTGTTTTTGCAAATTTGTATATATCTTTATTTTATATTTTTTGGGTTGCGAAAAAAATCACAATTATAAATGGGGTCGTGAATAAAAAAAGTTTAAGAAGCCCTGTAGTAGAGCATTATATTAAGAATAATTAGATATTTTATTCGTTATATCGTACAATAATTAAACAAATAACATTATACTAGTCACTAGTCTATTCAATGCAGTACGAATTTGGCGTTAGCCTTGTCCCCCGGCATCGGAATTTTGTAGTAAAGGGGGCGACGATTCGTTAGAGGTTGAGAAACACTGATTTAAAATAATAAATTTTGTAATTATGTGATATATTGTCATATCAGATATCAAACTTTGTTAATTAAAATTATCATTACTCGATTTCAAACACAGTCGAAACTACAATAACCTCTCACCTCTCAACAGCGAAGGCCATTTTTCAAGAACGTTTCTTTTTGAAATGCATGTAAAATAACCTCTAAACAGCGGTTTAGAGTTTTTTCGTGTTCTCGCCAGTATTCGATTTTAAATTGTAAATTATTGAGATCCTGCGAATTTAAATTACTTTAACATTGCATTTTATGTTTTTAGCGAATTTGATTTTGTATGAAATTGTGAGTTTACATGACATAGGCCTATTAGAAATGTACAGTACAAGTACAAAGAAAATTGAGGAATAACTCAGGTTTTCTATTCTATTCTAGGAGAGAAACCTCACAAATGTGGTGTATGCGGAAAGGCCTTCAGCCAATCGTCGAATCTAATAACACATAGTCGAAAACATACTGGATATAAACCATTTTCTTGCGATATATGCCCGCGTGCTTTCCAGAGGAAAGTGGATCTTCGACGTCATCACGATACACAACATTCCAACAGTCGACAACATTAACGTAAGTTCAAATAAATAATTTTATTATTTTTTTTTATCTTGCTTTTCTTGTTTTCCGTCAATTTAGTTTTAATTTTCTAAGGGTCTTCACATATTAGATTTTAAGAATCATAAAGTTGTTAAATTATTAACGGCTTTATAAGAAAAATGTTAATAACTTTATAAGAAGACGATTGATGGATACAAATTATAAAATATTTCATTGAAAACTGGATTCAAAATTAGCCTGTATGTAGTATCACTTTGATACATCTACTCGATCATTTCATAAAAACAAATTTAGGAATTTTTTGAGTTGTGAATATGGAATAATTCGTATTCTTTCAGAAATTATTGTAATTTATATATACAGATAACTTCCTTGATATTTTTGTTAAATAGTATAAACAATTGAAATAGTATTTAATTTAATCTATGTGGTATAAAATTGAAATTATATCTGTATTTTTGCCTACTCGAATATCACTCGAGAAGAGCTGAAACGGTTTTTAAAAAACTTTTTACATATATATTCAGGATAAACCTGGTATGTAGACTAGTTTCGAATTCACGTCTGTTTGTCTGTTCGAGTGAGAACGGCTGAATTCACGTCTTAAAAGTCTGGAACACTAACTTCATCTTTTAGCATTGTTGCTCTAGATTTCAATCAATACTATTAGGATGTTTCTTTTGTTTTTTTTCGGCATTAAAAGAAGGAGCACTAAATATTAAAAATTCACTTTTGCCTGCCTTGAATCCTTCAAATCGGTTTTCAAATTTAAATAATAACTAGCCGCACGTGTCCGGCGTTGCTCGCGCTTTTAAGGGGATGGGAGATTGGCGAGGTTGAGTTGGGAGAGGATGATAGAAACAATAGTCTTGGTAACTAAAATATACAGTGCCTTTATTGACCTCAGCATTTACAAGAATGAAATTAAAAAGCAAAAATAAAATTGCTCTGGCTAAAGTTTACGGGGATAGGACCACGACATGTTTGTTCTGTAGGCTTAACAGTGTATCTTTGCAACTTCGCCACGCCTGAACCACTGAAGCTTTCTCAAATCTCTCTTCAGCAGCAGCATCTACAGGATAAGAGCTTTAATTTGATACCCGAACCATATTTTTTATTCCTGGCCGTTTATTCAAACTAAGTCGGAAAAACTGAAACCCTCTTTCAATTAATATATAGATTCTCGAATATTTGTAGCATATTTCCTAAAATTTCAACCATAATATAATTCCTTATAATTTTTTCAAGTAGGAAAATGAACTAAATCACAATTTTGCAATTTTTTTTCCAAATTCCAAGTTTTTAACTTAAACGGGCACCTTTACAATTGATCTGTGTCAAACAATGCTTACAATAGATATACCCTGGAACAAGATCAAACATCCTGTAGGCCTGTACGGCATACAAAAGTTAAATCTACAGACTTTGTTTTCGCTAAACAGGACATGTCGTCACGTTTTTTAATCTCTTGTTTTATAAGCATTAAACGTGAGGAACAATAATAGTAATAATAAGGCTAATGATACGGTAAAATAATATAATAATTTTCTTATTTCCTACACATTAAAAAAGTAAAATTGCGAAGGTTCGAACCTACATCTTATAATCGAGATGGGCTGATAATAATAATAAGCGCAGAGTCCAAACGGTTCGGAGTTGAAAGTTGAAATTTGGTAAACAGTTTGGGGACGTCATGAGAACGTACAATAAGAAGGGATTTTTCGAAATCCCTCCACGAGGGAAGAGGGACAGGTTTAAGGCTTACCGTGAAGAACGCGGCTTCTATTATACTATTTTAGATGCTTTTTTTTGCATTTATGCAGGAAATCGAACATATTTTTAGACCCTTCTAAAAATTCTCAACGATATTTAGTGTTTCATTGTATATAAAGTTGACACGGGGAGCGCATGCACATAAGTTCGCTTTATTCGAACTCTTCGTCTTAATGTTCGAATTTATATTTATGAATGATTCTGGAAGATCCAGCTTATTTTTCGAATTTATTAAACCTGAAGAAGAACCCAGAAAGAGTTACGAAAACGTTTAGTATTTATCACTTAGAGGTACTACGCACCTGTTAGTGGTTGCAGTGTCTTAATTATCGTTATCCCGGTGTGGTAAGCAGGTATCTAAAAATTCTCAAATTAGTCTCGGAAGAAGAGGGACTTAATTCTTGCACTCGGTGAAAACGGGTAAGATCGGCTATAATCTAATAATCTTAATCTTTGCTATCGTTACTTTTTGTCCGAGCAACGCCGGGGCTCATGTGCTAATATACATATAAAGCTTGTTTAGTGTTAGCTTATAAGACTCCAAAGTCTTATAAACTAAACACTCAATTTTCAGAGGCCCGTTTTTCGGAAATGCTTGTTCTATTATTTGGACAAGATATTTGTGTTTAGGGCTAAGTCTGGCCCTCTCTTTGTAAGATTTAGTCTATTAGTTTGATTATATAGTGTACACTCATTCATCATCTTTTTAACAGATTCAAAATTAAACTATTGGATTTGGATTAAAATATATGATAAATGAGTTTTAGTTTCTGCTACCAAAATAGAAGATAAGTAAGAGTATGCACGAAATCTGTAGAGATAGGATGAGTTCATTTGTGTCTTACAAATGAACTCATCCTATGGGTAGATAAATATAACTTAATTAATAAATATTTACAGGATCGAAGTGGACGATTTCGCACATTCTAATACGGGTAGCTTTGATCTATTACATCGGTTACAGGAATTAGGATAATATTGATAGATTCAAATATATAATTAATAAATATAACTAAAATATATTATTAAAGCAAGTTTGAGGTAAACTTTACTTAATAATAATACTTTTAATATACTATATTTTTAAATTTTTAAATAAAACGCTGCTATTGGTCATGTTTTTTGAAATTGGGAGTAGGGGATGGTGGAGTGACATCACCCCACCGTATACTTCATTACAGTGCATTTACACACACACATAGCATGATTAAATTCTAAATTTTGTTATGTTTATCGGGTTTCGATGTGGGGAGAATGGTGGGCGCACTCCCTAAAACATCATTAAAATGCATTATCCTTGAATAAGTATGTTCTCAGTTTCAGTCTTTTATCTCGATTGTAAATAAATGTAATTTGGGTTGTAAGATTTTTGAGAATATATAAAGCTAAATAAAAACGTTTAAAAATAATGATCTGTTTGAAATTTAATTAAATACGTAGAAAAATTTGATTAGCTTTGATCTATTTGATCTAGCTTTGAACAAAGAAAAGTTATTAAAAATTTCATTTAAATTTTAAAATATAGAGATGACTGTCTATCGTAAATTTCCATGAATGGTAGAGAAAAACGGAGATAAAAAATAACAATATTTCAACTTATATTCTACGTTTTCTCTGAAAAAAACATAGAAATTTATAACTTCTCTGAATCGTGCTGTTACTTGAACATCTAACTAATGAGCAAACGCCCATTATCATATACTGATATTTTATATCTTAAGGAAAATAGAAAGGCAATTTATAAACAATTTTCTTTTCAGAGAGATTCATTAATTTTATACAGTCCGCGAATCCATAGTGTATAACTCGTTGATATCCGACATCTCAGCCAAGAAATCACTTGTTTTAGACTCCTTTTTATTTGACTTTTAAAATATAAGTAGTAACACGTTTCGGTTTTATCGCTCTTTTCAGACTACATCAAAAGTGAATGAGTTTCTTTTATTCACTTAGATATATTTTACCTTTTTTTTAATTTGAATCTGTTATATTTTCATTAATCTCCATTTTAGTAGAATCTTAAGAGTAACAATTTTTAAGGTTAAAATCGTTATTGTTTCGTATGTATCTACTTATTCTGGTTGTTACTTCTATCATATCGCCGTCCCTGGACTAGACCATTTAACGATTTTCTTTCTTTTGGATTCTTTCTTCCCACAGGATAATAAGAGGACCTTTAAATCAAGATACACAATGGAATGCCGATGGTGAGGAACGGAACCCGATATATCCGGCCATCAAATTCAAGATATTATAATCAGTGTGATAGTCAAACTCTTTCCACAATGGGAGAGTCTTTGATGTACTGTACTGTACGAGTAATCGACTAAATTATTGTTTTTACATCGTTCACTATTATTGTGCCACCATGGCCAAGATGGTCGCGGTTTTGAGCCTCACCAAAGGATGAGGCTCAAAACCATACCACGTTGAGTTTTCTCGGTTTTCTTCACGTGTCTAACACCTACAGTGGGGATAGTTTCCATGGAAAATCCTCCCGGGAGGCGTTCCTTCTTGGCAGATCGTCCAATGTGTTGCATTTCCTTATTCTATCAACAATCTTTCACCTTTACTTTTACTATGTTTTAATGGCTGTATCATATTACTATTATTATTATATATTAATCTTTGCTATTTTTAAAATTAAAAAAATATAACACGATACTTATCCCATGATGCAATCTATAATATAATTAAAGCTAATTTGCGTAGGCCAGATGACTATGCAGTGAGGTGTTAGTTTCCAATGCATGTCTTTAAAAGTAATTTAAATCTAGTCATGCTACGTGGTTTTATATTTTACAATTTTATTATTCATATATATTCTGGAAGTTAGTTTTTAATAATTAATGAACTTTTTTAAAAAATTACTATTATTAGTAGTAGTTTTTTATTAAAGAAAATTATAAGTAGTCTATATGGATCGATTGAAGTAAAATACTAAGAAATTTAGCTACAATTTACAGAAATATGGTAATACGGTAAATTTTAATTATTTTAATGCTTTAATTTTAGTATATTTCTCGGTGATCATTTTGATTGGATATGTGAAAAGAAAACACTGGTAAAATTAAGAATTTATACACAATTATACATGATTTAGCTTTTAGATAATTTAGAAATTCTCATTTATTGAAAGAAATTCATTTATAGTTTGATACGCTTTTTATTGTTCCAAGAAATTTCATTTCTCCAAATTCTTTTACAGAGAAACAGATTCTTTATGCAAAAATTATCAT